TCACTCCTGTTCAAAGGCTTGGCAACCAAGCATGCAACTGTAAAATGGACTATTGTATGAAATAGTAGACTTCATGGAAAAAGTGAATTTGACAGTTTCTTATACAATTATGAACACAAAGAAAATCAAATTTCCTCAAATCTGGCAATGGTCATATATGTAAATTAAGGTTAAATATTGAAATGTTGTTATTAAGGATACGTCACAGGAGATGTGTTTCCAATAATCCAGTAGATTGATAGATTCACACTGAAAGCCACCACACCAGATGCTAATACCACCAGCTGAAAAAAAAATAAAATAAAATAAACAATGCATAAGCCCCAAGGTTAAAATCCACCACTTTCACCAACACTGAGGTCAATAATTGTTCCAGAAAATCAATTTGTTTCTTCAATGTACCAAAAAATGGTCAGGAATATAACTCTTATGTGCAATATTCGTAGTCACTTCATGCTGTATGGCAGCAGCAGAAACTGGAATAAGCTCTGGCAGGAGCTATGCAATCAATATTGCATACAGACTTTTCCAGCGTGACCAGTTTGTCAGGAGATTATATGTGGTGAGAATATCTTGTTAACCCTTTACCTCCCAGAAGTGATCAACAAGTAACTTCTCCCTAAAGCATTGATACATTATCCACCAAACAGTTAAGAAGAATACTCAAAATTTTCCAGTAGAAGTTGTGATCTTGATCCAATGCTAAATTTTCGTGTTTAATTTACGAGGAAAGGTAAGGCAGCTAGAGGGGGCAGTAAACAATCAGATCTTGGGAGTTATAGGGTTCAATAAATTCACCTCATGCCACTTACAATTGAAGATCCAGACCAGGAAGACAGAAGTCCTTTCTCTGATGTTACTGGTTCAAAAATAAGAACAGCTACTGCTAACATGGCTGCAGAAATAGGGGCCTGGGAAGGAGGATTAGAAATGAAATAGGCAAATGAGAACCAGTGATACTCAAAGTTAAATCTGAAAGTTTCTTTACTCTTTGACTCCTACGAGTAACCAGCAGCATATTCCTCCTTACAATATCATATCACCCCTAAATCACATTAAGGACATGAGAAATAGAGGAAATGATCACCAACTAAGCCCTTGATTGTCAAACAAATTCTCCTTGTCAGCACCTGAGGAAATGTATAGAGAAAATATAGAGAATATGCATACTGATGTTAGGGTATAAAAGAGTTAACTGACCTGGTAATACAGGAGCTGCATAAAATTTGCTTGGAATTCTTTTTGTTTTGTTCCTACCCACTGAGAAGTAAATTGTTAAAACAAACCATCAGTTTAATTCAGATATAATTATTTAAATGGCATTGCTTTAGAGCAGTTTAGATCATTTTGTTTAATTATTTTGTGAAGATATCTTTCATTATAGATTGCGATATTTTTGGAGTCTTCAGGGAAATGATAGGAATATGTAGAGTCATAATGCCTTCATTTGGAAAGCACATTGTTTCAGCCAATCTAAACTCAGTTTTTAATTAAGCTTACCACTTGATAGACAGATGTCACTATCACACCCAAACTTGCATAGAAAGTGCCAACCCAGTTGAACTTGACATCATAGTAAGAGTTTAAAAACACCCCCACAATGATTGGAATCTGCAAGAAATAGCAAGTCAAGTTCAAAAATTAAACTTGGGTAGAAAAAAAAAACAGCTGTGCAGTTTGATTAGAGATTTTTTTTCCCATAAGCCCTTAGATTTGTAAGGGTGACTAGAATCTAATTTCTCTCTACAATTTCACCCCTAAATCACACAATAAGGCCACAAGAATAAAGGAAATGATCACCAACTAAAAGAAACTTCTTGATTGTTCGACATATTCTCTTTAAAAGCACCTCAGGATATGTATAGCGAACACAACTGAGAATATACATACTGATGTTAGAGTGTAGAGGTTATCCAACCAAATAATCATAGTAGCACACTCTCAATTAAAGAAAAATCATCAGATGTCCATGCATAATCTTACTGAGAAGAGTGGTTGCATGATTGTTAGAATACTGAACTATCTGTGGATTCAGGGGCTTGTTCTTTGTCTTTTCTCTCTTAAAGGGTTAGTCTGTAACTACAATGAATTAGCATCCCCTCTTCAGAAGTAGAAGCATAAGTTATACTAATTTGTACTGCCTCATGCAGTCAGCAGAGTATGGCAGGTGGAAGCACAATTCTGCATGCCAGAATTACATTGCAAGCACAAGATCTCATCCAGTTCTGCCATACTCTGCACACTGGGCCCATGTACACCTTGATAATCTCTAGCTCTTTGTTTGACTTGTGTATATCTTTACTTCAAGATCAGAGGAAAAATATATACAAAAGGCAAGCTGAATGGTGTCTGCATATGAAAGTTTCTGTGAAGGTCTTTGACCATTTTTCCCAACAGTTTTTATTGTTCTTGTTGTTATATTTCAATTTAAGTATGAAATTGGAAGGTGAAGTTCACAGCCCCTTGCCCTCTCACCTCCAAGGTTTCCCATGCATCCATTCATTTACATATTCAATTTGATCCTGAGTTGACTATGATCATCTCTTTCGTTTCATGCAAGATTTAAAGCTTCAACCTCTCCCATCCCCCCCCCCCCATTGTGCTGAATTAGTAAAGTAAGGATGTTAACTTGTTCATGAAAAAAGCTTCACTCACAACTGTTAACTTGATTTGTGTTGAATAACTCTTATTATAAAAGAATGTGTGGATTGCCACAATGGTCGGTGTGGTCAGGGCTTTCGCTAACTGATATGTTCCAACTGTGTTATTCTGAAGGCTGAGATTTGTGAACACCACGAAGCCACAGAACGCCAATGATAGCGGAGCCACTTTAAATACAGACAACCTTTTAGGCTGAAAAACATTGAAGAACGCGCACAGGCGGAGACCAATATACGTGGTGGTAAAGTGGATACATGTAAGAGTCATGTTCGGGAAGCCATGGTGAACATAGAGCCATTTGTTCAGGAAAACGATACAAATCGAGGAACATATGTTAATGAGCAACCCCAGCGTCAGTACAGCTTTATGCATCTTCTGAGCGTGTCCTGTTGGTAAATCTCTGTGGTCAGATTTGTTTTAGCCGCATAAATTATTAAACGAAGTTTACTCCGATATGAGCTGTTCCTTTCAAAGGATCTCTCCAGGTGCTGTAAAATACAGGTGGCTTGAGCTCTCTTCACCTTTTACCCAAGACGCTAGATTGATATTCAAGCAATCTACAGGTATAATTATTTAAAAGAGGGTCCCAGAGGAATGTCAATAGTGAATATCTATTTTCCGAAGACGTGTTGATCTTTTGACGCCATCTTGGAACGCTCAATCATTACCAGTCTACCGCGGTAATGAAATAGATGTACAAGGCAGCCCAAGCTTCAACGTTTGAGTCCACCTGCTCCCACCAACTCTTATCTGCTCGCCATCCACTTGTTACCCGTTTCACCCCATTCAGATTCGTTTCAGCTTATTTTGCCTAATCTCGACCAACCACAACACGAGTAGGGTGTATTGCTTTTTTTTCCCTTTTTTTTTTTTCGAGGGAACGCATAAGTCCATTCCCGGACTCTCTGCAAAACACACTAACTGAACTTAAAGAGAAGAACGACAGAAACCATCCTTCAGACTTATTCCCCCAAAAATGATGATCATAATTCTTAAAAGGATATCTCGATGCTTACTGGGAATCGTGAAGCTGTGCCTTTCGTTCTTTTCGTGGTTATATCGGTTCATCATGGGGCCGAATAATCAAAATAAGCTTGAAGCTATTGAGCATGATTATTTTGAAGGTGAGACTAGCTTCGTTTCAGTATGTGACAAAATCGTTTCGATCTAAGTTGAATTTCAGTAATGTTTCTTATCATTTTCTTGAATTTGACGTTGCCAACAAAATATTTTCATTTTTTTGTACCTTCCTCTCATTGCAAATAATTACACAATTTAACTTATATACTAGCTGTGAAATAATATTTGCTCCTTTTCCTCTATCTTGTCAGTCAAACCCCCAGTTCCTTGCTCAGAGGATGCAGCAAATGACGGTCTCGTCTAGGAAAAGAAGATGAAAACTCTGAAGTGGACCAACCAAGAATTCTTAAGTCTTGATTCGTGGAAGTCATAATTGCAAACATTCATATAATAGTTGTGACCATCTGACGAAGTTTAACCTTCTCTTTCTAACTCTCATGTTGTTTAATAATTTAAATAGTTCTTGTTTAAAAAATTGTGTAAGCAACAAGCATTTTGTAATCTATGATAAATCCTCAACTGTCCCACAGTTTCCAACTTGTTGATGAAGAAACTGAAGCTAATATTCAGATGACTATGAACATTTCGACGTCAAGGAAGTAGATTATTTAAGTGGGAATAATTTTAAAAAAAGACAAAACAAAAAAAACTGACGGCACAGATCACCCGGTTACCAGTCGTCTTTTGGTTTAATGCTCAGTTTAATTTGAGTGAAATCCGTCAAAGTAGTGAAACGTCTTTTAATTTCCTAACGCAAATAGCAATTAGAAAATACCATAAGTTTTACTGCAGAAAAATAAAACTAAAATTGTTCATTTCGTAGAACTGATAACTTATTTTGTTTGCATATCAGTTAGTATCACTCGTGGTAAGTAGCGACAGAGCATCGAAGAAATCTTCGATCACGAGCCATTTTGCGCGGAGTTTTGTATCTGACTAGTCCCTAACAAGTAATACACGAAAGCTGATAGTGAATGATTGAAAATGCTTTTTCTCTGTAAAAGAAAGAAGAAAACAGAAAACTCGAAACAACCTCTTTACACTGCTCATTTTTGTTCGGAAGAAGTATAAAAAAAGGTGAAATAAATGTAAAACTGTGGTTTTACGGGGCAATTGACTCAAGTACGTAAGGTATAATTTGAAGATAACAGTGTGACTTTCCAAGAGATTATATTCTCTTGGGTTTTCTCTTTGGATGATAAACTGAAGAACAACTCATTTTGAAGTCGAACTCAGTCTGTACTATTATACCACACTTCTTTAAGAACATGTTAAGAACGTTTCCATGCTCAATACCGATACAGCGGCAAATTTGAATGCCACCTCGCCTTGAAGAGCCCTAAATTTGAGAAGAATGAGACAAAAATTGGCCCACTAGGCTTCGTAATACTCACTATTCTGTATTTAAGATGTGCTTGCTTCTAAATCAACGCACGGCTTTTCGAAAATTAAAGATGTATCTTCAAAATCCACCTGAAACGAGCGATTTTACGAAATAGGAGCATTATCCATTTATACCTGAAAATACTCAAAATTCGGTCATTTTTTTACGTGAGTCATTTTCAAAGCGATTTTCTGAAAACCCTTATTACCCACGACAAATCAACGCACCACAAATGGCAGATTAATCTTTCCTTTAACACAATCCGTTTAATTTCGAAAATTGGCCGACGGGAACCTTTATCCTTTTCAGTTTGAAAATTGTTAGTCAGAGTTGCGTTCAAAAATGGCGCGTTTTGAGTCCAGCTGTGAATAACAATACAATTCAATACAATTTTCAATCCAAACGATACCCTTCGTTGAAACTTTATCCCTTGTAAAATTATTCACAATTGCAGTGAATTTATTTATTGCCACGTGCATCAGCTGTCAAACCTTCGCTTTCTACACTAACTTATACAACGGAAGGTCAACAACGGAAAAATTGAGATTTCATGGTTTTCTCTCTGATTGAAGTGGGTTTCAGTAGTTTAAAATACCGTTATTTTGACGAGTCAATATTAATACTACTTAATTTTTTTTCACTTGATAGTCTCTTACGTTCCTCGCATAACTTAAGCTGCACTTTCATTTGATTGTTACGTTTGTATTTCGCCAAACTTTATGTTAACGAACCATATTAGAAATATTAAGGCATGACCTATAATTTATCAGAATTTCTGCAGGATTTGCATAAAGAACGAGATGAGTTAAACTTTTGGGTTCAGCTGAACGCAATGATTGAAATAGAGTGAATCGGTGCCGCAAACCGCATGAAAATGTTTGTGCAAGATGATGTCACGCAAGAAGTGTAGCAAGCTAAAGATAAGAACGAGGAGCACTAGTAACGACTTTCCGAGTCGGGTGAACTACCATCCGTGATTAACCAACAGTCAAACGACGTGATTGCACCGGACATGAAGAGTACAACATACTTTACAAGTGAAAAATACATTGTTTAGTTTAAGTCGAAGAAATTTCGCTAAATTTTGTGTGGCTGTTTCCTTCACCCCCGTCGATCCTAAGTTTCTTGTACAGCAGCGTTTTAGCTTAACACTGTATCCGCAAAGACCTAAAGGTAAATGAAACTCATGAACAGTATTTCCCACATAATGCCCTTGTCGTAGTGCTACGGGTTAGAAAGATCCCCAAGATGAAATTTATATTGTCCTGTGCCTCTAGCCGGTAGGATGTTAGGAGGCTCAGAAAATTTTTCCGATTAGAGGTACAGCTTGCATATTAAGTCCACTTTGCCCAATTGTTACAACGCTCTGTTTCGCATTGTTACTTTTTCTGTACCCCAAATTAGTCTTACACTCCTTTGAATAACTATTTTCAAGAATGCGTATACATTTATTTATTTTATTTGGTCTTGAATCTCTAGCTAATAGGATCTAAGAGAGCTTGTAAAATACTACCAGCTTGAGGTGCAGCTCGCATTCTTAATGTCCTTTGCCCAATTCTTGAGTTATTTTAAAAAAAAAATAGTCATACTACATTGGAATCATTTTTTCCAAGAATGTCTTCTCGTTCGTGGGTCATGTACCTACCACCGCTTATTTGATAGCACAGCACACAAGCTACGAGTATCAAATGATGAATGAGATGAAACTAAAGCAGGCATTATTTGGTAATAGGCGAAGGGTTTCTGGTTGGTGTTCAAATGAGAAAGGTGTGAGTCCTTTTTAATAATAACAATTTTTATTAAAAAATACAATAACACAGGCACAAGTTAATCTCATTAATATAATTGTATAGATTCTGTATATATAGTTGATGACCATTCTATATTTTCAAGAATAACTTGCCTTAAAGTTTTCATACATTCATTCATACTGTTCAATATCCTTAAAAATACAAAGGAAAAATGTCAATTTGATGAATTAAAATCATGTTATCCTATGACTACCTTAAGATGACTTGATTTTAGTATTTCAGACAATGGTTAGCTTTGTCAACAATACTTCTAATCAATAATCTCTATTAATAAATCAATAGAGACTGTTCCTTTC